GCTTTTTTAATTCAGGGTCTGTGCTAAAATCATTAGGGATTCTTTAAAGGGCGAGTTCCTGCTACAGGCTGTAGTTGGGTACCAAAACAAAGCCAAAACACAGTAAGTGCCTGTAAGGGTGATGTTACACTTACTGTATAGCACATAAGTCATACTTCTGGCTCGCTGGTACTGGGTGCATCAAAGGTGGGCAAGCTTCCAGTTCCTCTATATTATGGTGACTTTATTTGAATTGTCATAGTGGGGTGGAATGGGATGTCTCCCTTGGCTCTATTGCCCTCCCCCCCATGGCTCCAGATGAAGGAGTGCTGTGTTCCCAGGTGAGTGAGGAAGAGGGTAGCAGAGAAGGCTGGGAAGCTCCAGGAGCCTTTGGGAGGGTTAATATGCTCTCTGGGGCTGCAGAGTGGAAGGGCCAGGGCTGGTGCCTGGGGTGTACCTGCTGCTGTTCTGTTCCCTGATGAGCTTAGGGGTATGAAAAGGCCCTTTAAGACTGATGGAAGGGGGCTTGGTTTAATTAAGTGTAATCCCTTTAAAAATTGCAAGCGCTTTCACATGACCTGATTCCAGCCTCACACTGACACAGAGGAACCAGGGCTGTTTCGGTGGAGTGCTGGCACTCAGGAAGGAGCCAGATGTCTGTGAGTATTGCTGGTGCTGCAGGTGGGGGCTCTTCTGAGGTTGTGCAGAGCATGATGCCCTGGTACACTCTGTGGGTCAGCAGGTGACTCCTGCCCTTGCAGCGGCGCCTGTGCTCGCTGGCCAGCTTGATGGGAAGTGAGGCACAACCCTGGGGAGCCAGCATCCTCCAGAAAACACTCGTGCATCTTGAGGGACAGAGGAACGAATCTTGTTACAGTCATTATTCTGTTGCTAATCTTGTTGAAAACCAAAACAGGGAAGGTTTTTAGATTATTAGGGTGCCTTATGAGATCTAGAGTTCAGAGTTTATTCAGCTTCACTGGGATTTATTGTGATTCTCTGCTCAGAACTGTTGGAACTGATGCATGGTGTTAGTCTAGTATCTTTATCTGCAGTAACTGCTGGGTGAGCTGGTGGTCTGTAGCATAGAGGATCTATAAAGGATGTCCTGGAATTACTTATTAACTGAACTTCTGTAATAGTCAAATGAGTGGTTAAATATGGCTTTTCCCTATGCTATTTTCTTCAGGAAATAGTCCACTTGGTGGCTTGAGAAATACGAATATCTGAAGCTTGAAGCCTACAGATCAGCAGGGTATAACAGCTTCCTCACACTCAGGAAATTGAGGGAGGAAAGAAGCTTTAGCTCAGGGTCAGGGTTTTGTAGAGGCTGATACCCTGTTGTGCTGACTCTACCTATTATTCTGACATGAATTTCCTAGTACTCTCTTCCTGTCTCAACTTCTGACAAACAGAACTGTCTGTTTTACCTCTTGCACTGCTCAGTGCACTGGGGCATTAGCACAAGTAATACATCCGTTACTCGCTGTGACGGTATTGGTCTTTCCTGTTTGTCCTGCCATATGCAGCCACGCGTTTTCATCTTAGGAAGTAGTTATAGCAAGTTATTAGTAGGGCTCACTTAGAGACTTGGAAGATAACTGATAATCACTGCTGTTAGTAACACTGGGGATCTCGGTGTGACAGAAAGTGAGACTTGAAGGTATATTGGCAATATTAAGATACCTGAAAAGATGCTGCAGATGGGTGCCTGGTACCACTCACTCTCTGTCTCCTGTAGTCTGCTAAACACTATGGGAGGAGGGTGGTGGTGTCCTGTAGCTTTTGAAAGCTTTTGCTTATCAAAAGGAGCTTTCTTTGGCTGCAGCTGCTTCGGGGGCTGGAACAGAGTCTCTTCCATGCAAGAGGTTCTGCCTGTGTAGGAGGTCTTGCCCTTACCACAACACTGTCCTTGGCAGCAGGAAGCTCTTTAGTGCACTCTGGTAGTGGCAATCTTTAGGTGTGCTTAGACTGGTAGAACAATGGTAATTCCTCAAATAGAGAAGAGGAAGAGTTGCTAGGTTTCTAGCTCTTTCCTGTAGCTGTTATGAAATGAATCGGTTAAATATGGGCTTTTTTTCTTCTGTGTTTTTTAGCTTGGTGAGTGTAAATTTCCTGGTTGAAATGTGATAACTTGGATTTTCCTGTAATGTGCAAGATGGCCTTCTCTGGAAGCTTTTTGTATAATGTTGCTAGCTGTTAGTATGCAAAATATTATATTAGATGATGCTCATAAGACAAAAGAAGGCTATTCAGAGATGATCTACTAAGGTAAAACTTCTGCTAGTTCAAGATCTAACCAGAATTTAGAGGGCTGCAGACATGAACTAGGCTGAAGTTTATAGCAGCCTAACTTCTCAGCCAAGTGTTAAATTAGTGTGAAACTAGTGGTTAAAATGCCACCAGTCCAGCGCAGGGGACACTTTCCCCAGCTCAGTTCACTGATGGTTAACAGCAGTTTGCTGTTGAATGTGCTAAAGCCGTGTTCCGATCAGGAAAGCTAGCATTACCAGGGTGTGGTTCTCGAAAGCACAAGCCTGTTTCCTGTGGTGTCTTAGCTCATGCTGTCTTGTAGAACAGGCTGAAGTTGCAAGTGCAGATCCCATTCAAGACTTTGCTACTCCTAAACCTTAAGCTGCTACTCATCTTGAGCACAGGGGGCTTCTAGGGGGGAAAACCAGTGTATCTCTTCCTATAGAGTGTACTAATTGAAGGATGATAACTGGTCAGATAGGGCATTTAAGTAAATGATAATTACAGGTTCCAGCATGGGACCTTATTTTACTGTGCTAACAAAGATGTGAGTCTTAATTCATGCAGAATACTTATTTATGAGGATACTTACTGAAGCAGTTTTGCTTTAAATTTTAAGGTTAATTTGCTCTAAACAGCTATTTGGGCACAGGCTGCTAAGAGCTGCCACAAACGTTTCAGTTCCGTTTTCTGGTGCTTCCTCTGTGCTCAGGTACTTTAGAGTTCAATCACCTATGTGAATGGTGAGAGTAGCTACTGTGTTTTATCCTGAACAGTGGAGCACAAAGACTGGTTTTCTTTCATGTTTTGTGTTTTAGGTGAACATGAAAGACTTAAAAAACCCCAAAACCAACTTGTTGCTCAATGGCTCATTTAATGTAACCCCTCTTATACTTAGATGTGCCCTATGGACATCTTTGCTCTGACTGGTAGGTGTGCTGAGCAAGTCAGGCTTACAAGCCAGGACTCTTCCTGCTAGAAGAGACTGCTTCCAGGTATAAGTAGCAAAGCTGGTTTTGGGAGTGTTCAGCCCTTCTGGTAGCAGCTGGATTCCTGGTTCACCAAAGCATCTGTGAACCAATTGTCAGCATCTTGGATCTGAGGAGAATAATTTTGGGAAGGTATAGCAAGAAACTTCAGGCAACTGCATGCTACTGAATGCTGCTAATTTTAAACAAAGCTTGATTGCTTATGAGTTTAGGTTTTTTGCTCTTTCCTTGCTACTTTTATGGGATGTTTTTTCCTCTGACTTCATTATGTCAGAAGGTTCAGAGGGTTTGAAAACCAACTCATGAAAAAGCAGACGAGGAATGATATCTTTGCTTCAGTAATGTCTGTGTAGCATTTCTTATGCATGCAACAGTTAGAACTGCAACTCTTCTTGACTTCAGCTTTGCTTGTTAAGCCTGTGTTTAACCTCTTACAGAACATGCTGAAATTTTTAGCTAAAAACTTAAAGCCTTTAGGTTCATCATGAGGGGGTATCAAGTACCAAATAGTGCTGTGCCTAGGCTCACATAGGCTTTTTGGTAAACTTAGAAATCCGTTTGGATGTAGTAGTCTCTTTTTTGGCACTTGACTTAGAAGTATTCTGCTCATTAAGTCTTGTTTATGGGGAAACAAATGGTTGTAGCTCTCCTGCAGTCTGCTGCTGTCTTAGTGAAAAAGGTGTGAAATCTGTCCATATACTCAATAGAAATACAGGGATCAGATCTGGCTGTAATCATATCAGTATTAGGTGGTTCTTTGAATATTTATCTGCTTACTCTACCTTTTTGGTGTCATGTGTTAGCTTATGGTCTAAATGTGAGTTATTCCTACTAGAACTGTTCACAGTACAGTTCCCCCCCACCCTTCACTCCTTGAAGGTGGGTAGAGTAGGCTAAGAAGATTGATTGCACTAAAGAGCAAGTGAATTAGGTTTTGCTGATGTGGGGTAAATGGCTGTTAGCAAGGAAGAGAACTGCATGCAAGGCCTGTAAACTGGGGCTTGGTGCATTGTGAATCTTTTCACTCTGTACGATACCAAGTTTTGAACCTTTGCTTTGATTGGAAAGCATTAAAATGGTTTGAGTTAAAGCATCTGCAGCTTGTGTTCATAATTAGGGAAATGTCTTTATCTTTTTCAGTTGATGGGTATGCAAATAGAAATGAATTTTCAGGCAGCTTGGTGTACTTACAGGCCTTGCTTTGCCTCATCAAAAGTTAAGGTATCTGTGCTTAGACAGGAGCATTCTTATCTACACCTAAGAATCTACACAGCGTTTTCCAGCAGTGATCAGTTGTTGTGAATGTAACTGGCATGTCTTACACTAATCTTTGAGGTGAAATCCCTCTGCATTAAGCAGTCCCTGTTAATGCCTCCAGGGACTTCCTTGACATTCATCCTTCAAGTGAAAGGGTTGGATGTCCGGTTGGTTGTACCAAGATTTGGAACATCTCCACTTTTGTGAAAGATATCAGAATGTTCTGCACTGGAAATTCAACTCCATAAACTGTAAATGGCTCTCGCATATGTCAGTGTATAGACAGGAACATTAGTAGGAATTGAGAGGATAAACTCTTATACTGTGAAACAGGAAAGTTTTATGTTCGACAGAGAAACTCGGAACACCATGCAGGGCAGATGACTTTGTAACTGCTGGCAGTGAAGCTCCTGGAGGCTTTGGAGCTGGTCCCTGGCTGTATGCAGATGTTGGTTTTCATTATTGTGTATTGTCACTTAAAGCATGTGTTGTAATGATGCATTTTCTGTCTTCCAGATCAGTGTGCGTGTTACTACTATGGATGCTGAGCTGGAGTTTGCCATCCAGCCCAACACTACAGGGAAGCAACTCTTTGATCAGGTAAGTGATGGAGCTGCAGATCTAAAGGTGATACAGATAGTGTGATTCTAGTAAGGTAACAGCAAACAATTTCTAAAGGACTTCGAAGATTAAGTGACAGTGTATATAATAACTTCAAGAGAATTCAGCATAGTAAGAAATTTTACTTCCCCTCCTCCCCTTCAAAACTACTGCTTTTTTAATCTTCCAGAATGTGTTAGGAGCTAATCTTACCTCTAATGAATAGAACTGGTGTTATAGCTCATAAAAATTGGAAAGCAGTAGATGCCTGCAGTCATAATTCATAAGATAAGTCTTTGAGGGAGTTGGTAAGCTATCTTTGGTCGGGTCACTTGCAAGCGTTGTGTAATTGATTTCAAAGGGTAGGTTGCTCTCTAAAACAGGAGAGGCTTATCTGGGTTGCAAATATTGCTGCAACCCTTAAGTGCAGGTGAAGGGACATTCTATACTCTATCAGGCCCTGAGGGAAATCTTAATGGAGGTTGTGTACTGTAATGTATTGGGCTGTCTTCATCTGGGTGCTTCAGCCTTCCTCTGCACTCACTGGCTAGGCAAATTTCCTCCTACTTTGGTCCAAACAGAAGCAGGGAGGCACTTGCAGCCCAGAGTTGGAGCAGCTGAAGGCAGATGTGATCACTTGCAGCAGTCGAAACTTTGACAGGCTCCACTGTGTTTCTCTACTGTAATCTCGAAGGCCATGGCTTTGCTACTTGGAGGAAAGTCTGAACACTAAATTCATAGCTTAAAATAAAATGAATCTTGGATTAATGACAAGATGAAGGAACTGCCAGACCAGATATGTCAGATACGGGTGTGGTTCAGTAGTGCTCAGCAGTGTGGGGCCAGCTCTACATAGTACCTAGCTTAATGAAGAATGAAACTTAAGGGCTGACCCACCCAAAGAAGTCAGTTACTTTATTTGGGGCCAGAAAACCTCATTTAAATCTTTTTGTCAGATGTTTAACCACAAACTACTACTTTCTGCCATACTCAGCTGAATGATTCAACACTAGACATTATATTGCTCTTTGCAGCCCAGCCCTGAAATGAAGGGAATAGAGTGAGAACGTAGGCTTTACAGAAAGAGCATCCTTTCATAACGGGAAAAGCAGAAAGGCTTTGGGGAAAGTTCTGAGTTGCAATTTGAGTGTAGTTGTCAGCTGTCTGTGTGATACTACATAGTAGCTTCTACATATTTTAATCCTGTGTGGTTTCAACTGTGACACTTTTTGATTGATAGAAGTGAGAGCTGGCTTCTGTCCAGAATCCATGTGTGCAAGATGGAATGCCAGCACAGTTAGTTCATGGGAGCATATGCCAATGAAGCTGAGGTGGCATACCCCCAGCTTCATCAAAAGGTGGGCTATTTTTTTGGAGGGGGTGTTCTTCATGTGGATGCTTCCTATGATTATTTTTTCAAAATCTGCTTTCTGACTTTTATCCAAGCAAAGCACCAGGTGCTCAGAAGTGATACTGCTGAAGCCAGTGGTATTTTCAATCTACACATGATTTTTTTCAGTTGGCTCTAGACCATCTGCAGCTTTTGCTGCAAACTGACATTGTGGTGGCAGACTTAAGCTTCAGCAATGTGTCTCCAGAAGCATCTGATCGTGTTTCCGGTATGGGAACTCCTAATGTCTTAGTAATTGATTTCACTCCTTTGTGTCATGTTCTCCAACAGCTGCATGTTCTCCTCCCTGCAGTGTGCTTCACACAGCACCTGTCCAAACACGAGTTTTGATTTGCTTTTCCCATAGTAAACAATTTGCAAAGGGAGAAAAATGAATGATGCTGCTGCAGATCTAGATTTCTATACTGCTAATATAAATGAGGCAGTGTTTAATTCCCCTACAACTCAATTTAGCTGAAGTTGGAAGAGGAAAGAAGGTGTCTGAAGCTAGCTGTTAAACGTTTGCTATTTCTAAAAGGTCTGGTGGACAACATCTCTTTATACTGTCCATATATCACACTTGCTAGAATAAGAGTTAAACTGTTTTTCAGTGCTTAGCACACAAGACTTCCTTGTGGAATTAGTGATGTTGGTTCCTGATAGGGCTGGTAGTCAAATGAATGTCCTAGAGCCTCAGCAGTGGCTGTTGTCCAGGTTCTGACTAAATAATTAGTCAAAGACATAGCACAGCAGTGCTTAGGTGGTGTTAGTGTGGTTACTACTGCAGTGATGGTGTTAGAAAGACTAACCCTTTGCCAGGGCTTGAGAACACTGTGAGCAGTAAGGTAGGGAGTTGGCAGTAGATGTGAGGGTGTCAGATCTGTCTTCCACCTCTAGCGTAAGGAATTCTGAAGGCTACTGCTTTGTGAGTGTTTGAGGAGCCTAATCCCAGCTTCTGTTGCTGTCCTGCAGGCCAATTCTTGGCCATTTACAATTAAGGAAACTTGATTGCAAAGGAAGTAGCATTCAGCTCCTGACACAATGGGAAATGTATCATCTTTGAAGATATACAACAGACTGTCCATGGGGGTTTTTTTGTGTTGGTTTGTTTTGTTAGTGGAAAATTCAAGGCTCTTTTCTGTTGCAAGAAGATTTTACAGTCACACTTGCACATAAAGGAACCAAGTACTACTTGTATATGGTCATGCTCAAATAGATCATTGATCTTTGCATAAAGAACTAGCTGAATACCAAACCAAAACATGAGAGCCTCTAGTGAGCTGACAGTAAACACTATACTTGCTCCCTCTAGTATGGGGATGGGGCTTTGAATATGTTGGTAGCTGGCATATATCCAGTATGTTTCAAATGGCTGAGCTGTTAGTGTGGGTTAGTTTCTGTAAAGAGCTAGTCCAGAGCTGTTCTGCCTGCTGACACTGCTAATGGGGACTAAGCAGTCCCTGCTGTCTGACTGATAATCTGTATGTTCTGTATCAGTTTCTATCCTGAGGTGGTTTGGGGTCCCGTGATGGTGGGGGGGTGTAAGAACAAAGTTATGGCTGTTCATTTTCTAGCTCCCTTAAACTATGTTGTCCTCCTGGATTTGCAGATCTAGTGTTTTCTGCATGATGCTTGTGCTGAAAAAGGATCTGCTTTCATCAATGCTTTTTTTGAGGGAAGGGAGTATTCCTCTACAAAGCAAACTTATGGTTTTGCTGTTGCAGCACATTAATCTTCTGTGAAAGCTGACTTTTGACTCTTTCACAGAGAAAATTTAAGTTATCCTGCATATTTTTGCCCCAGAGTGCCCTCTCACTTAGAGCTGTTAGTTCAGAGTTAAGCAAAAAGGAAGCTTGTAAGCATTACCAAGGTTTCTAGCTGCACGGCTTCCTTGGTGCACACTGCTGGCTTTGTTCAGTAATATTTAGGCAGATTGTATTTCTATCTGTGGTGTATAAAGGCTGGTAAATATATTCATTATGCCACACGATTGACCTTCTCTGAATAAGATTCAGAAGACTTTTCTAAAGCTTGTATCTAGGTAGTACCTTCATGAGGAGGAATAGTTTGAGTCCGAAGTCCTGTAGGAATAATAGATGAATGTGCTTGAGGTAGAAATGTTCCTGTCTCCCTCTTTCCTGCTTGGTTAAATTCCAGAGTAAATTTTTGTAGTGACAGAACAATGCGGATGCATCACTGCTTTGTTGGAAATAGTCTTCTGCCCCAGAGTAGCTGGCTCTAGAAATACAATTGAGCTGATATACACTGCAGGAACATAATGACTTATACTAGAGATCTTTCTATAGCACCTGATCCCCATGGCTTGTATCTGTACAACTTTAGCTTAAAAAGCTTAAACTTGTGTGCGCGGACAAAACCTGGATTAGTTGATGTAAGGAGGATTGTACTGTCTGTCTTCTGCAGCTTTGCTTATGTACCTTGGCATCAGCTGCTGAACTCAGTGCTTACTGGCCCACTAGCAAACACACTAACTCTGCTCCCATTCCTCAGCTGCTAGTGATGGGTTCAAAGAAGAGCCTGAGGATGGGCTATGCCTGTCAGGGTTGTGCTGCTTATCCCACAGGCCTGATCACTTCATGGGTGCCTTGAAGTATTGCTTTCCTGGGGATGCAGGGCACAGGCACGGTGACAGTGAGAGCTGCTTGTTCTGCTTCTTAGACCTTTTTCTGTATCAGACTGAAGTGCAGTTGGACTAGAGACTAGCGTGTAAAACAAACACGAAGCAAAGCAGTGCTATCTCCAACACATGGTAGATTAACCGATTCCCTGGTAAAACTGCTTAGCTACTTATTGCTGTGGATAGCTTGAATTGGTGAGAGTTTGGCCTGTTAGGGGAATGAGGGGGCAAGCCTGTAGCTTGGACAGGGAGAGAGGTAACTAACTCGCTTGCTTAAGTGCTCCATGGCTGGCTGGCAAGCTTTCATGGAACACTGCATCTTACTGGCTCCTCAGGAAGCCTGTGTACAGACTAGTCACAAAACCATCAACTGCTTTGGCTTCTGCAGTGTGAAAACATACTCCCTTCTTCCATGTCTCCCACATGCTGTATGAAGCATCTTATGAAATGCTTTGTTTCTTATTACTTTTGACCTTGGATCCTGCTGGCACCTTGTTACTTCATCCCCCTTCAGAGCCCCTTATTCCTTCTAGTTTCTGGTAGAGAACTCTGCTGTCTGCTATACTGGGTCTGTTGGGTGATGAGTGCAGTCAGTGGGTGGGGATGTCTACCCATTTGATAGGCCTAGTAGTGTTTAAATACATAGGAAACTGGTCTGGAACACTTGGTCCAGTACATAAAAGAACTGAACCAAAAACTTACTATGGCAGTTTCATGGTAGAAAGCAGCAAGTCCTGGGACAGTGGCTGGTTCCTCCAGCAAACCCAAGAATGCTTGTTTGTGTAATGAAGGCTCGTGGTTGAGTGGTATGGAAACGTGTCTCAGATTTCACAGGAACATGTGGAAACTTGGCTTTATAAAAGCAGTAGTCCAAAAATGGACCGCTTGTTGCTAAGGAGGTCAATGGCAAACTGCAATAAGCTTAAAAACTCAAGATCCTGTCTTGTAGCACTTTGGCATTTTAGTACTTTGGAAGGGAAAGTTAGAAATATATCCATCAGCCAAATGGAAAGGGAACAGCTGAGTATTTATGGTTGTAGATGGAGCCCATCTTGGGTATTAAGGTGTAGGGTACCTGGAAGACCATGTTCTAAGTCATTTTTGACTGTTGCATATGAAACTGCAGCTGTGGCACCAGTTCAGAGCTCCTCCAGCAATAAGGTGCTGTGCTAGCAGTTTTCTCTCAGAAGTATGCCTGTCATAGCAAGGGGGAGAAGCCTGCTTCATGTTTTACTAGGACAGCACGTGAGATCTGGAACAGATTCGTGCTGTGATATAGCCTGGGATACTTTGGCCTTTAGTACAGGAACTTGGTCCTAGTGGGGTGTCTTCTCTGCTTGCATGCTTCAGTCTTGCTATTCTCTGCCAGTTGTAGACTAAGCCTAGTACTGCAGGTGAAACAAGACCCAGGGGCTGACTTGATGTTCTCCTCGGCATGAAGAAAAGATGTCGCTCTCCATCTGAGAGTGTAAACTTTAGGAATGATGTAAGTATAGTAGTCTGTGTTAAACAGTACTCCATACCTGTCCTGTGTGCCAGCCCTTCTCCTTCCTCAGCCACTGCTAGTAACTGCTTTTTGGAACTTCTCACAGTTCATCAGGGCTCTGAATGCTGCTGTTGTGGTTTAAGCTGTACACCCCCAAACATAATTGAGCTGCCAAATGCCAGTCAGACTCCTTGCAGCTGTAGAAAGCTGTTTCTTCTTCATGCTTTTTCCCTTGGTAAATGGAACTGAATAACCTGCTAAAGATAAGGTGGAAAAGAAGGAGGACTATCCTTTCCCACTTGTCCTCCATGATTCAGCAGCAGCTTGGGGGTGTGATGTTGTGTACTGTGCTCTCTCTCCCTCTCCTCTGTCCAGTTTGTTGTTGTCACTGCTACTGCTGAGGAATAAAAGTCCTTTTGTGCAGGGCCTCAGTGTGATGCCTTTCAGTTCCTTGCTGGCAGTCCAGCTTGTTGCATTCCCAGGCGTAAGCTGCTGACAAATGGAAGTGAGTCAGGCAGACACATGCAGCAGAGGGGGAAGCTTCCATCCCATTCAGATGTTAATGCTGCGGAGAACAGCCTCCCTTGGACTCTGGACAGCCTTTCTTCCTCTTCTCCTGCTGTGTGCTTTCAATACATACAGCAAACTTTCTTCTCCAAAAGTCTCCTTAGCTGTGTGTGATACCCACAAGTGAAGGTTTATTTGCCCCACACTCCCCTGTGTTTACAGGGGCTTTAGGCCAGCTCTCTGGTTTGTATTCAAGCAAGGACAGGCTGAATAATTTCATGGGCTCCTGTGAGATGCTGTATATAGATTGCATGATTATGTGTGTGCTACTAAGTGCACGTCTCTGCTGAAAGCTCCCTTTGGGTTTTGGGCCTGAAAGGAACAGGAGCCCTAATGCTGCTTTTTATGGCCAGAAGTGTCTGATCCAAGCCCTGAAGAATCTAGTGATGTGTTTGCTGGGAACCTATGTCCTTGGTAGTGTATCTCACCAAAGCTAGAGACCACATCACAAGGAAACAGAGTGCATCCTTAGGATTCCTTAACGTAATTTAAAAGGAAGTAGGCATTTAGGGAGAAATTATAAACCATGAGACAAGGCAGTACAACGTGACCTCGGCTTACCTGGCAGAGGGGACTCCATGATCAGGCAACTGCTTTCCTGGGGCAAGGCTCATCCCCTGCTGTCCATCTGTGGAGTACCTCTGAAAGAGGGAAGCCATGAGCAAGCCTGAGGGGGGTGTGTGTGTAAAAGTAGCTTAGTGTTGCACTTTAGCTACAGTGTCAAAGACAAGAGTGTTCTCCCTTCCCCTTTCTTGTCTAGTAATAGAGGTGCCAAGTAAGTGCCAGTATGAGAATAATCGATGGTTCAGAAGAGGTGTGGGAGAACATAAGTTTCTAGACTTGCTGCATGTTCCAGACTTGCCAGGGCACAGAGCTGTGGTCTTATGGTAGTGAACAGTCTTCATCAAGAAACCTCCCCCAGCAGTAGCATTATACTGCAGTAGTCTTGCCCCCCCATGAGGCTCTTGTCTCTTGTTACAGTATGTCTGTAAAGCCTTAACTCTTATTTATGCAGCCCCCATGGTGTGCTAGGGAAACAACTAAGGAGAGAGCTTACCTAGTGATGTAGTTAATTTTTGTGGTAGCTTTGTCCTGGCACAGGGATAACATTACCCACTGCAGGACGTCTTAATGTTGCTGCTTATTAAAGAGCTGCATGAAAGGCCTGTCCACAGCTATTGGTAGAGTAGAACACAGATCTTAAACCAGCACAGCCTAGTAGGACACAACCTTGCAGGTGATCCGTGGCTTGCCCAGAAGTGATGCATTTGCATGATAAGTGAGGGGTGTACCTGAAAGTGGAGCTGTGTTAGAGCTGTTGCATTGTTTTGGCTACACATGTTGGCTTTTGGAATTAGCTGAAGAAAACAGTGTCCTAGCTGTTGTTTATAAATAGCAGTAAGCCTTAGATGGGGGAGAGGGAAAACCACAATATATCTCCCACTTAACACCCCTCAGATGCCCCATCATCTGTGTGTGTGCACTGTAGCAGGGGAGGCAGAAGGCTAGGGCACTTGGTTGTGTTTGAGCTTGCCTTGAAGAGTGAGATCAGCCTGGCTAACTGGGCTCTTGCTAATTATCTGTCTTCCAGGTCGTCAAGACAATTGGTCTAAGAGAGGTCTGGTTTTTTGGACTTCAGTATCAGGACACCAAGGGCTTCTCAACATGGCTGAAATTGAACAAAAAGGTATGTTTGCTCCAATATTTCACTTGTCCTGGGTTCCCTTCTCATGGAGGGCAGGGCCAGCTTCAGTCTCTCCACTTCTGAAAGGGATCTGTTCTTGCCTCTCTACCTGTGGCACCTAGAGGTACCACAAGATTACCGAGTTGGTGTTGTCTTCCTTCAGCCTATACACCCCTTCCCCAAGGTACAAGGAGTCATGGTGTCTGACCTGATCCTCCTGCATCTAGTCCTGCTTGTTATCCGGGCAGATCTGTGATCCTTTCTGGTAATGTGCTGATGTGGTGCTCATGTGAGAATCTTGGTTGGAGAGAAACCTGGAAAATAACTTACCTACCAGTGATCATAACTAGCGGCTTGTCTTAAGTCCTGTGGGGAGAGGTGATGAGGTATTTGGCAGTAAGGAATTGAAATCCTTGCTTTTCTGCCCATTCACTTCTGCACTGGAAAAGAGAATTTTGCTGTTTTCCTTATGCGTGCTTGCCTTGTTGTTATAAACCTGCTCCCCTTCACTTGGTATGTAGTCTGTAAAATGTGATAACTCTGTTCCAGGTAACAGCACAGGATGTACGCAAAGAAAGCCCCCTGCTTTTCAAATTCCGTGCCAAGTTCTACCCAGAGGATGTGGCAGAAGAGCTGATCCAGGACATCACACAGCGCCTTTTCTTCCTCCAAGTGAAGGAGGCAATTCTGAATGATGACATTTATTGCCCTCCAGAAACAGCTGTCCTTCTGGCTTCTTATGCTGTCCAGTCAAAATATGGAGACTTCAACAAAGAGGTGCACAAGTCTGGCTACCTCGCTAGTGACAAACTGCTCCCACAGAGGTACGTGAACCTGGGTAGCCTTAGACCTTTTTTGCCTTACAGGGTTTGGGATTCTTTGGGGTAGAAGATGTCTTGATTGGAATGTTCAGAATAAAATACAGTTTAGTGTTTCTCTGAGGATTAGGGTTAGTATTCATTTACAAGAGCTTTAATCTTAAACATCCTATTGCTACAGAAGAAACTAATCAGAAGTAGTGAGAGAAGCTCCAAAACAAAAAATTGCTACAAGGGAAAGCACGACTGAATACAACTTGTCATTTGTCAGAAGTCTGAACACTGAGCAGCCTTGTAATAAAACTATTTCCTGGAATACTTTTGTGGGGAAAATGTGATGCCAATGGAGAATTTAATGAAACGTAATTCAGGCCTGATAGGACTACGCATAAGTGCAGTGTCTGGTTTTAAACATCCTATGTACTCTTTCTAGAGTTCTGGAGCAGCACAAGCTTAACAAGGACCAATGGGAGGAGAGGATCCAGGTGTGGCATGAGGAGCATCGAGGAATGATTAGGTAACTGATGCAGTGTGAAATTGGAGTATTTAGAGTGGTAAATGCTAGGGTGTGATGTATGAATGCATACAAAAATCTGTGGCTTGCTTCAGGCTCGGAGCAACTATGTTCACATGCCTCTGCCCTTGCTAGTCCACGTCAGCTGGCTGTTCTTAGTAAAACAAAACTGAGTTTGAAGAGTTTGTTATTATCTGCTTGGGTGGTGCTTGGAACCTTTGTAGCTTGTTGCTGCTCTGCCCATGTAGGAAGACAGCACCTTCTTGCTTTAATGGTTTATAGACCCATAAAAGGGTATCTGCTTTCTTTTTGCATGCTGCAGAGAAGATGCTGTCTTGGAGTACCTGAAAATTGCACAGGATCTGGAAATGTATGGTGTGAACTACTTCAGCATTAAGAACAAGAAGGGCTCTGAACTCTGGCTAGGTGTAGATGCTCTTGGACTCAACATTTACGAGCAGAATGACAGGTAATAAACTCCCTCTCCTCATCATTGCTTTTAGCTACTTTCCAGAGTAAAGACACTCAAAATTAAACTTATCTGGAATTGAAGTCTCTGACTAGACTTCACAATTTCTATATTCTTGGCTGTGCTTTGACGCTGCCAGAATGATCCATAAAATGTGCTGCTTTGGACCTAAACATATAAGAAATTGGCAAATGTTATCAAGCTACTTTTACTTGTATCTCTGGTCTTCCTGCCACAGATGCATTCTTCAGTTCTGTTTTCCATTAAAAAGGTGGTATTGAAAAACTGCTGCTTATGTTTATAGTTCATGTACATGACTAATTTTGTTTTCCTGATTCCAGTCAATGTAAATGTACTGAAATAGGAGGGCAGATTTGCTTGAATTTTGAGCTTTGTATTGTAAGTCAAGAATTTGGAATGACTTGGGTCTCTTTCCTTTTGCTTTCCATTTCTGCAGGCTGACACCGAAAATTGGATTCCCTTGGAGTGAGATCAGAAATATCTCATTCAATGACAAGAAATTTGTTATCAAGCCTATTGACAAGAAAGCACCAGTAAGAAGCAACATTCAAACTAAACTTTGGTGGCTTAGCTGAATGATCAGCTCCCTCAGTCTTTTCATTGATAATGTCAAGGCTGATTTAAGCAGTGCTCTACTACGTGATCTGTTCAGGGAAGCATGCACAGAATGGGTCTAATGGCAGTAGGGTGATAATTGAGATTTGTTTCTGGCTAGGAAGGTAGAATTTTATTGAGTATAACCTTAAGCTGTTCAGTGACAGGAAGAAGCTCTTTGCTTAGGGTTTCTGATTCTCCTAAGACTGTTCAAATTCTCTCATGGTACAATTAGGATCTGAGGCATCTCTGTTAACATGAATGCTTCCTTTGCAGCTGGCTTTAGTAGTGTCTGGGATGGTCTCTTGCAGTTTTTCACCTTGCTTGAAGCTGAAGCTTCAGGTCATTTTATGGGGTTTGCTGGGAGAGATTTTTTCTTGCAAATTTATAATTAATGTAATTGGTTTATTAATTTCCTGTGTCAGCTGATACCTTCCATTCATTCCTATTGCTTTGCTGCTTGGAAGCATTTCCCTGCCGCTATTGCTTCTTTTTAATAGAACAGTTATTTATCCATTAGACATAATGCTTAACATCTCTTGTGGTATAAGAGAAAACATTACACTTGATGTGGCTGGTCAGACTGTTGTATTAAATAACTGTGTGGGAAGAAAGGTTGGAGAAGTCATAGTGTTGGTGTGCCTGGCAAGCCAGCTGCTGAGGGTGTATGTAATGAAACTATGAAGCCAAGTTGCTGTGTACTTTCTGATAAGGATGCTTTACAATGAAACCCAGCATACTGTAACAGCAAGCTGGGGACTTCTGCCCTGTATGTATTTCTTGGACTGAAATGCATTCCTGAAAGATAAGTGTTTAACTACCAATGAGTTAGATACCATTAAGAAAAGCTGGTGAGCAGTTCCAGAGAGCTGAGGGTCTTGGAGCATGTTGCATACATAGGGGGCTACTTATGCCAAAAGAACAGGTCTAATGCTGCCTTTTTCTTTTCCTAAGGACTTTGTATTCTATGCTCCTCGGTTACGGATTAACAAACGAATCTTGGCACTTTGTATGGGGAACCATGAGCTCTACATGCGCAGACGTAAACCAGATACCATTGAGGTGCAGCAGATGAAAGCACAGGCTCGGGAAGAGAAGCATCAGAAACAGATGGAGAGGTTGGTAGGGTTCTGAGTAACCTGGACTTGGTTGATTGCTGCACAATAACATTATGTGATATAAATTGCTGGCAGCACTGTAATATACTGGAGCCAAAAATACAGCAGGCTGCTTTGTGCTTCAATAGATCTTAATGAGATGGTGGAAATAATATCTGTTACAAACGTGACCCACCAGCACTTTCTTGGAATTAAAGATTTGTCTGTCCATTTGACAGGACTGTTATGTATTTTGATATACGGAGATTTCCCTTATACCATTGCTATTATCAACTTGTCATTGAGATAAATACCAGCAGAGTTTTTTCTTTCTGCACTGCTACAAAGGGGCATGTGCGGAATAAAACTCATAAGCTGTGTGCTGTAGTGCACATCTCTTGTGTCCTTATGGCTTTACTAGGAGTGCTCCAATCCAGGTAGCTATTAATTTGAAATTGCATTATGATTTCTTTCTTATCAGGGCCCTGCTGGAGAATGAGAAGAAGAAGAGGGAGTTGGCAGAAAAAGAGAAGGAGAAGATTGAACGTGAGAAGGAAGAGCTAATGGAGAGACTCAAGCAGATTGAGGAGCAAACCAAGAAAGCTCAGCAAGGTAATATGAAATGTTCCAGTATTTCCTTAGATGCATAGTCTGAGAGGGAAGGGTTCAAGTAGTGTAGGTATGAGCATCTTGTCGATTTTGTTCTCCAGTATTGTGTACTAAACTGGTGTTAGGGCCCTGGTTTAGCTTTCTGAAGCTGAATGTAAGCCCTCCATATGCAGCTGTTGAAATAGGACTTGCATTAGAGATGAGTGGCAGCCACGATGCCTCTCTGACAATTAGAGTACCTTGCAGCTGTTCATGTGCTGCCTGGAAGCTTTATCCCAGCATGTCCATAGGGAGAAGGAATCAAAGTGTAGCAAGGGTAACACCAGCCAGTACTCTGGTGGTGGGATTACTGTCTGATTGAGTGGCCTGTGTTACAGTATGATATTGCTCAAGCAAAATGCTGCATGTTTCTCTGCCTTTTAACGATGTCATTTTGGAATGAGTATTTCCCCACAAATGAATTGAGCATGTAATCTCTTAGCTTGGCACAGGCCTGTGTCTTAGCCTTCCAGCTCCAGTTACAATATGAAGGAGATGAAAGGGAACAGTTGCTCCCATCTCTCCTTGTACCTTTGAAGGAAAACCCTCATCCGGGACGTGAGTAAGGGCACCTTTCTCTTCTACTGCCATTCTTTACTTGATTTCTCTTCAAATGTTCTCCCCTATGCTTTCAGAACTGGAAGAACAAACCCGCAGAGCTATGGAGCTGGAACAGGAGAGAAAACGAGCTCAGGAGGAAGCAGAGAAGCTGGCTAAAGAACGTAGAGAAGCAGAAGAGGCAAAGGAGGCCCTATTGAAAGCATCCCATGATCAACAGAAGACCCAGGAACAGCTGGTAAGTGGGTGAACTGAAAATTGGGTAGGGAGAGTAGTGACAGGGTAAGCATCTAAGCTCTTGAGGCAAACCAGGTTATGAATATAGTAAGGAAGCATAGTCTGGTTCCTTAACTTTTAGCCTCAAGCAGATGAACTTACACCTAAATACAAGTGTATTTGTACAGTAGATGTGAATTGTCGTGCTTTTTTCCATTCTTGTATGTGATGCTGAGAAGAGTGTAGAGCTCACTAATTGCTTTCCCTGTGTTTTCATTTTCCCTTGCATCATGGAGATACGAGTTGGACTGAAGTTTACAAGAAAGTTTTCTTACTGAAAAGATGTTAAAGATGGTGTTTTTATTCAGGACTTTGACTAAATGCTTCATCTAGCAGGTGCTTTTGTTTTGTCCCCACTAAAAGCCTTTCTTTTGCAGGCTGCTGAGATGGCAGAACTCACAGCTAGGATTACGCAGCTGGAGCTGGCCAGGCAGAAGAAAGAGAGTGAGGCCCAAGAATGGCAACAGAAGGTAAAACAGAATCTGGGCAAACAGCAGTACTTTTTGTGGAGCTGCTCTTCATTTTGTGTTGTGACCTAAACTACTGCACTAGAAAACACACTAGACTGAGTGTCTGCAACCTTGAGGCCATTGTAAATACCCAGCTTTACTTTTCTTGGTGGAATGACTGCTTTTCTAACTCTGTATAGCAATGTTTTGACTGATTGGGCCTATAGCCCATTTTCAACAAACTATAAGCATTCTTCAACACTTTGAAGTGTCAGCAGAAAGTTTTGCAAATGGTTGTGGCTGAGTAGCTTTGGAACATAGTGCCTCAGTGGCAAGGTTGCCTGTAAGAAGCACTGAGTAGTGCTTCTATGTGCTCCTGCAAGAAGTCTCATGCACTCAGGATTACATTTGCTAACTCAGTGGCATGTCCTGCTGCAGGCACAGATGGTGCAGGAGGACCTAGAAAAGACCAAAGAGGAGTTGAAGACTGCCATGAGCACCCCTCACGTCACTGAGCCCATGCATTCTGAGAATGAGCATGATGATGAGCAGGATGAGAATGCAGCAGAAGCCAGTGCTGAGCTACGGTCAGAGGCCACCATCAAGGACCGCAGTGAGGAACAACGCACCACTGAAGCGGAGAAGAATGAACGGGTCCAGAAACACTTGAAGGTAAGAAGTCACAGAAGAGAGGGTGTGTGTCTGGGGGCTACTTATAGTCTTATCAGTGATTGCAGCTGGTAGGTATTTACTATATTTAACAAAAATAAAGGAAGGGGGGAAAAGGAGTGGTCATGATCTTGTCAGATAGCTACTTAACACTGAGCAAAGAGACAGATCTTGTCTCCTTGACTTCCATTTCACTGGAAGTAGTGAAGTATTTTCAAGCAATGCCAAAAAGCAGCATCTGTCAGATGTAGTGGGCTTGCATGAGTCTTGCCAGCCATCTGACAGCTGTTCATAGGCCTGGATGCAATGAATCAGAGAACTTGGTCCAGTTCCTATCAAGCAGCTGTCTGTAACTGTCTTGTCTGTCTGGGTTGCATTGCAAAACCCTGAAAGCAGCTCACTAGGGCTCAGAATGGAGGGAGCAGTGCTGTGCTACTTTCCCATAAGCAATTCCAATGTTCTGGTGTTGACTCTTTCCAAGCTTTTTGATACACTGCCTGCTAGTTGCCTGACTTGCATCAGGCTTTGCTTGTTCTGCATCATACTGTGGTGGTTATGCACAGCAGAATAACAGAGGTGCGCTTTATCTTCTGCAGCAAGCTGCTTTTGTGATAGAAGCCTTGTGACTGCTCACATCCTACAAGATGCTCTTGTCTTTAGGGGTCTCTCCATTTCACTTTTTGAAGTACATTGATGACAGACTGCCTGATGTTTTCTACCTTCAAATGTTAGAGAAAGATATTAACAGCTCCAGATAATCACAGATTTGTTTAGGTTGGAAGGGACCTCTTAAGATCATCTGGTCCCACTTCCTTGCTCAAGTGGTGTCAGCTAGAGCAGGTTGTCTGGAACTGGAAACATTCAGGCTTACCTGTTCCCATAGATACTGAATCTTTAGGAGGATCACTAAGAGACCTTCTTTTCCAGCTTTGTGTCTCTGGCATGTGCTAACCCACCTCTATCTGTTTCCCCTTCTCTGAAGGCTCTTTCCTCAGAGCTGGCAAATGCTCGGGATGAAACCAAGAAGACAGCCAATGATATGATCCACGCTGAGAACATGCGTCTAGGCCGAGACAAGTACAAGACCCTCCGTCAGATTCGGCAGGGCAACACCAAGCAGCGCATCGATGAGTTTGAGTCCATGTAAACTCTTCCCTGCACCTGCTGCCCTGCACTCTCTTCTCCTCTCTTTCCCATCCTCTCCCGTCATTCACTCGTAATCGTGCTACGCTGGAACCACTACAGAAGAGTGACCATGGTCTTATTTATCGAGTTTTGGGCAAATGCTGGAGTTAAGCAACAGAAGAAAGAATAGTATTTACATCTTCCTGGGGTGGCTTGTTAAAGCAAACATATATTTGGGCAAATCTGAAATTGCTTGGCTTTGGGTAAAGTCTCACTGCGTGTAGTTTTGCATTCCTTACCGAAGTGGCTGTGTTGCTGTCCTCTCTCATTGGGTGAGGAGGCCAGCAGATGCTTTTACTGAATTATGTACAGTAAAGTGCTATGTTTGACACTGTGCCTTCCTGCTAACTTGTACAAGCTTCAGTATTAAGCTTAGTAGCCAGGGTCTGAATATCTGATGATACAGAGTCTGAATCATGTAGTTGAGAAGGGGAGGCTGGAGCTTAGGAAGAAGGGTTGGAGGTAAAATATGGACTTTCTAAAAGACCAAAGCTTTTGTCCTTCAAACATAAGCAGACCAAACAGATTCTGTGGCGTTCCTTCTGGTGTTACCTTTTGTTGTTTAATGATGGAACTTTGAGTTTCTAATCATGCAGAGGCCTTTGGAATATTTCCACTGATGCAGTGTGGTTTGGAGCCTCGGATTCCCTGCTTTCCAGAAGTTTTGTCTCTGGTAAATGGCTTTGTTCACTGTCATTTGTCTGACTTGAATGTAACCAGTGAGGCAGAGATAGCTAAGAACCACTGCCGCCTTTTTTTGGGTTTGCCAATGGAAACCTAAAGGGGTAGGTAAAAAAGGACTAAAGACTAAAAGTTTTTGTAGCTGTATTTTTCCCTTGCTGACCCAGGATATTTCTAGTCGTGTGAATAGGATTTCAGGTTTTTCCATAAGAGGCCTTTTGAACACATAGTCATTGGTGCCTTATGACTGTGTATAGATCTACTGTAGCTCAGATGTCTTTAGTTTAAACTAGATGCAATCATAAAAAGTCATCAGCAGCTGGGGACCAAAAAAATACTCTTACCTGGGTCATGTACAAGACTATATCTGTCTTCCTGGCTTCAAGCAGCATTTGAGGGTAGAGGATCCTGAGATGCTTGTCCAGTTGCTGCCTTAATCCTCACTAGCATTCTGCCAGATCCCTGGCTCAAGTGCTTTTCCTTCCCCAGAAGGATGCTTTGCCCCTCTGTAGCCTTGAGAACAGAAGGCTTTGTCTCTTAGAAGTGGGATACTAGTGGTTATGAGACTGGTCCTGAAAGCCATTTTTACCAGTTGTTGTAATACCCATCACCTCCTGTCTTCCAAGCTATCCATGCTGCAGCTAGCCAGAATCCTTCCTGCCATTCTGGGGAGGAAACAGCCATGTATGCTCAGGGTTGAATTGGATTTTGCCTTGATCCTTCATAGAAGGAAATGTAAACTTTCAGAAGAGGCCTCTTAAAAATGGATTCTACCTACAATGGAGTCCTCCTTTGTTTTGCCCTCCTTGGATTAGTCTGTCTCCATAGGAAGTCGCCAGGCTAGCCTGTGATTTATTTTCTTGCCTAGCATGATCCTAAATCTTGTGACTTTCTCAGTTTTGTGGATTCCCCCTTTGTATGGTATCACTGCTAGTGGTGATAGAAGGAAAACATCTGAATGCTAGAGCATTTTCAGCCACTTGCTTTATGGGAAAGGTAAAGGGGGACTGTGCCAAAAAGAAATGTTTGTGATAGTGTTAATAAACTGCAGTATTTCCCCAAGAATTCCTTGGGCTGCTGGAAACAACCTTACCAGTGCTGTATTATTTTGTTTTTTGGAAGCAATACAAGTCTCAGTGTTGATCCATACAAATGCCAACCAACCAACCTCTGTTAGGAGCATAGCTTAATGTGTGCCTTCTAAACATCCAGGTAGGTCATGTAGGAGCCCCCTTCTCCTCCCTGGACACAGCATGCTTTTTGGGGGGGATCACGACATGGTAAGCATTTGGTTGGCCACAGTAGTTTGAAAGTCACAAATGAAAGATTGCAGTTAAATTTGTCAGAACTGATTTGTGTATTTCTGTACTGAAGGGTTATTGACACTGGCTATATGTGAGTCTCATTACTGGGGGAACAGACAACCTTTACACTTCTGTTTTGGTGCTTTAAAGCTGGTTCTCAGCACTTCTGCTCTGTCCATGGCAACTATTGATGCATTTGGGGGTGAGAAAAGCTTTTATTACATTTTAGCAACTTCCTAACACGCTGATGTATGGTGCCTGGAATATGTGTTTGAATAATAAACCAGTAAACCTTTTCTGCTTTGGGTCACACCACACTGCTGAGATCGTGTATTATGATGCTGGCATGACTTCTGTTTATAGGGTTTTTTTAATCGTTCTAATTCCAAATGGTCCAATATAGGAATAGAACGGCTTGTGCCAGTGAGTCTACCTAACTCTTTGTAGTTGTTTCAGCCCTGCCTTCTTCTTAACCAGTATTATATTCCAGTGGTATCTAATGATATTTGATTTCAATACTTCTAGCTATGCACAATTAGAAAATATTAGTCATGGGATGGAGGCTATGTTTATGGTCCTCCTTCCCTTGGAAATGTATACTGTATTGTAAAGAAATGATATTTTGCAAGAAAACTAATGTAAGAAGCTTTCAGTATTATGGTGAGATTTGTAGACACGGTTTTTTATTTGTTAGAATACAGTGAATTGTTCTTCTTCCTCTCCATGTTCCAGTTTAATTGGATAACTACTCCTCTTGGGGATGGAAGTACTTTATCAAATATTTGCCTGGCTTGGGGTTTTTTTTTTCTTTGTTTTTGTTGTTTTTTCTTTTTTTTTTTTTTTTGTTTGCTGTAAATTATGTTACATTTTTGACCAGTCTTTTTACTGGATTATAATAAAACACCAGTTCCGTAAGGTTATGGAGTAATTCATGGGTCCATGTGCTTATCTGCAGAGAGAACCTTGATATTAAGGCATTTTTTTCCTGTTTGGAGGAGTTGTTAAAATCCATACCCTTTTCTTCCTAAAGTGCCAATAAAGTTCAGAGAAATTCAGCAGATGGTGTCTGGCTGGTTACTTAAGGCAGGCTTTGAGCCTAGTGCTGTGTCTCCAAGCTAAACAGGTCTTCCATGTGGTTCCTGAGGGGTCAGCTTTGTAGCACTCTTGCACATATGGAGATCTTGCATCCTGAAAAGCAACTGCTTGAATAACATCCCTTTCCCCACCTTCCCAGGTGTCTGACTAGAGCAAGTACTGGAATTCACGTGTCTTTGTGGAGACAGGGTCTATATATATTTATATTGTGTTTAACTCCGAACTGGAGGAGGAGCTGCTGTTGGAACTTGCCACCATGAGTGCCTGCCATGCCATGTCCGTATGTATCCATGGTGAGTTTAGTGTGCAGATAGTGGCCAGGTCTCAATGCTGCAGCGTGCTTCCAACATCCTCCTTGGTCTGTCCTGCCCTGACCGTGTACCAGGGATTTAAACCCTCTTTGTTTTGCAGCTACCTTACTGTGATTGTCTTATCTCTACTTGTTTTCCCTGAGGTCTCAGGATTGGGCCCACTGGTGGCAGAGAATGGCTTACTGCCACCTTCCTACTAATGAACTGTGTGATTTTTCTTCGTAGCTGCTTCCTATGTGGTTGTGAAGAGGGGCTTTGCAGAATCTCTGCCTCAGGGCTGCTGCACTGCAGAATAAGGCAGTGATTTCATCAGAACATGTTAGTGCTCAGAGATCCGGAGCTAGGGGAGAAAGCTGAACTTGTCTATAAACAAAACGTGAAGTGTGGAGCAACGGATACCTCTGCAATCCCTACCAGGCACAGATCCAGCTTCCATAGGTGGGTTTTTGTTCCGTCCAGGATTTCAAACTCCTGAACACCACTGGAGGAACTGCATGTCTGCTTCAACGCTGCTGCAGTGTTCAAGTGAAGGCTGCCTTGATCTGGGAAGTTTGCTTTCACAAATGAGGTTCTTGCTGCTTTTATCGCCTTTGCTTCTCAATGGACAATACCTTTCAGCTTGTGCTTAAATTTCTGGAGTCTCTGAGGCTTCTGCATTCAGCCAGGTTACTTTTCTGTAGGAGTGGCCTAGCTTTCATGGCATTCACTTACTTGCATCTGTGGAGACTTGGGAGGCTTGCTAATTCTCCTGTTATGTATATCTGTATTCAGCTTGTCTTTGAGGAAATGGAAGTGCAAAGCATTAAAGGCTGAACAATGGCTAAATGAATGTCTAGTACCAAGTGATGTGTCTCTGAAAGTTACTAGTGATTTAAGATGGATCTTCTCAGGCAGAATGAAGTGGGTATAGGGAAAAGCGGAGGAAAGAATGAGGAGGAGACATTAAGGAAAGAGTAGTGCTGAGGCTGCAGAAAGGTATATTGGGAGCTCCTGGAAGGGACTGTACTTCCACCTTCTGTTGAGAATGCACTTACTCTGAGTAGTTGTTAATACAGCTTTCTGGTGAGTAGTGCTAGCTGGAAAATTACAAGCAGCCATGATTGCTGTTGTCTGTGGTTGTGCTTCATCTTTTAAAGCCAGGGTTGATCTTTAATCATCAAAAATGACTTGAAGGGTCAAGGGGATGTAGAATATACTGCTCTTGAGCTGGGAGGTTACAGTGAAGGCTGTCTATACCCCACATGGAGCAGTACTGCCCTCCCATCCATCTTTGAAGCATCCTTGACTGCCTGAAGGAGAAGCATCTGCAAGTGAAGGCCTTGGCTGGGGCAATGTAACTTCTCAGTGGCCTTCACCCAGCCAGGCAGCAGCTGCATTGCCAGAGGTGGCTGCTGTCAAGAAGCCCTGTTGTGGATTTGTGGTGTTTCCTTGTTGCAGTGTGAGCCCATCTCCGGCTCCATTACTGCCCTCTTGCTTCCAGTGGTGAAAACTTGTCCCTTGCTCCTGTTTGTAGTGATTCTCAGAAGGCTGCTGAACATGTAGAGAAAGATCAGAGTGGGCAAATGGTCCTCTTGTTAAAGAGATGTAGAACCTGAGGCATGTTTACAAGTCTTCTCAGCTAAGCCTCCAGCCTCCACGAGGCAGTGTCTAAGACCTAGGTCAGACACTTGAGTCTCGAACACTGATTTGATAAAATGCTCCAGTATTGGAGTAAATGGGTGTTAACTTGCTTGCCTGATGACAGCTGTAACCCTTCTGCATATGCTGCAGCTCGCTCATGGATAGGGGCTGGGTGGTTTCCGACTCGTGTGAATCCTGTTTCTTTATTCTCCTGCTCTTATGGCTACTCTGCTGCAGGGCAGGCTGCCTCTCCTGATGTTTCCTGCTCCTGATTCTTCTCTTACTCCTTCATAGAGAAACCTCTTCCTCCTTCTATTTATTAAATGTATCAAATCTTATTTATTATTTTAATCTGTTTTCAAAGAGGCAGCAGACTAATATGGTAATTTTAAACCTCCCATCTAGGGTCTCCTGGAAGCCATGAGGTCTAGAGAAGAGCCCTTCTGGTCAGAGCTGTTTGCACAGTGTCTTCAGCCCAAAGGAACTGAAGCAAGTCTGCTTTGTGCCTACATGTTTGCTAGACCAGCCCATGGAAAAGACTGAAA